TTATTATATTATTATATTATATTATATTATATTATATTATATTATGAATCTGAATTTTAGAGTCAGAAGATTGTAAATTTAAAACTTCATTAGAGATATTATGAGTATTTTGAAAGTTTCATTAATTGTACTATGCTGATTTCCGCACAATTTAAAAGCTAAAGTTGCATTTGGGCTACTCTTCAGGTTTGACTATAAATTCTTTAAAAATTCTTCAAAAAACATTTTTAATGAGATTTATTAAATAGTCAAATATGTTTTTCCTACAAGCAGAAGTTGATTTTAAGAGAGAAAAACAATACCAAACCCAACCCTTATATTATTTATGCATTATTATTTTTGTTTTTTATTAAAACTATCAAATTATTAATCCATGAGACAATCTTACCCTGAACCACATGGGATGTTCAGATAATAAGATCCATGTATTCCACATTAGCATTAGCACCTGGATTTTATCATTTTAATACCTAATTTTTTGTATTTGAATTTCAGAATTATTTCAAGCGCCATTCATATATGGTTGAACTGAAATTTGACCATCATGGTCACATTAGTCGAATTGTGGCAATTTTCCACCGCTCGATTTGGAAGGTGGGGTCCATTCGAGACAGCTATTCACTCGGACTGTGACATTATGTGGTACTAAATACTTAAAGCTAAATCAAGCCGTCCATTTGTTAAAATCAAACTGTTCAAAACAATAATATATCCTATATTATAGTTTCCAAGTCCTACCAAATAGTGTGTATTTTGTGGGCCTATCCAGTATCCAATTCCAGTCTTACAGCAGCCCCACTTGTTTAGCGGTGGCGGGAACTAAAAATATTGGGGCGTTTAATTTTAGAGGATACCTGTCAGAAAGATTCATTTCCCGATTCGAATTAAAATTTATGATTTATTATAGTATTTTTTTCATAAAAAATACACATACATCGAAAATAATTCGAATCACATTATTTGAATCTTCTAATCAAACGTTCTCAATTTAAATTGAGATATAATTTTATATATTAATTTTTTATTATAATAAATTTAAATTAGTAAAATGTCATTCTAAATCCAAAAGAAAATTAAAGAAAATAATCGTTATCAATAATATAAATTATTCTAGCTCATTCTATTTATTAAAAAAAAAAACACGAGATAAATTTTTCATGATTTTTAATAGAGTCAAAGGCAATATCGATTAAGTTTTCTTCTTCTACCTCGTTTTCAAATTATATAAGTAGCATCATCTATAACAATCAAATAATATGGAAAAAGAAAATTTAATTAAAAATGAGAGAGAGAGAGAGACTGACTTGTTATCGGGATAAATAACGAGGTCCTTGGAGAGGTCTTTGATGCCATTTATGACATTTCCGCGGCTGAATTTGCTTCGAATAGTGGAGGCCAATCCCAACTCATTCTCGATCAGATTGAATCGGCTTCCTCTCGACGATTTTATCCGATCCCTTATGTCCTGCAACTCGTACTCCTCTTCCCCCTCCGACGACGACGACGACGACGACATGTCGTTTTCTTCTCCTCCTTCTCCGTCATGTCGACGACGACGGTGATGGTTAATCTCCGACACAGCTCTCCCGCCCGCCACAGACAACGACAGCATCGATCTTAATTCCGATTCCGATTTCGCTGCATATACGACACAAAACTTAGTCCCAGTCCCCGCAGCGGCATGGATCAAGATTCCGCGTTGAGGATCTACATGATGATCAGATAAATGGCTTTAATTTGAAACTTTTAAATGTATCGATCCAACATGCGTAGCTTTCGCTTTCATTGCCAGAAACAGAAAGAAAGTTCTGGATCCAAAATCTTTTGGAAACTTTCCGAGAAAGTGAAATGAAATTATATAAAGGAAAGAGATACAGATGGAAGATGAGAGGCAAACCGTGGGGGGGAAATTAATAACACGACTTTTCAGTTTTAGGACTTGTTTCCGCGCTTTTAGGGTCACGAGCAATGGAAATTGGAAAATTACGGTATTGGAGGGAATGGCTCGCTTGGCTGGCGCTCAAAAACTGAAAAGGATGAGAGAGAAAGAGAAAGAATCACGAAAATAATGGGCGAGATAAGAATCACGAAAATAATGGGCGAGATAAGAATCACGAAAATATCGGCTTTCTTATTTGACCTTCTTAAAAGAAAAAAAAAAAAAAAAAAAAAAAAAAAAAGGGCTTTGGTTCCAGGAATTTAGAGCTGAAATGGAACTTGGACGTTGTTTGGTTTGGTTTGGTTGGGGGTAATGGATTTGTGTTCCTGCTGTATTTATACTGCCACTATGACACCATTACTGTATGCTGACGTGGCTTGCAGCTTTTTAAAAAGTCTGCTCTTTTTTCTTTTTTTCTTTGCTTTATTTTTACAAGATCTGTGACTGTGAGGCAAACGTGTTCGCGAATTTTGAGGAGAGTTGTCCTGCCAAATTGCCATTGCCAAAACCAATCATACATTTTTTTCTTATGGAAATAAGACCCATCACTTATAAAATAGTAAGTCTCATTAAATTAAGTTCCATCTTACTTAACGAGACCTATCTTTTATAAATAGTGGAATTTCAATTTTATTAGGATGAATAGAGATTAAGGACACTTCCAATGAAAATTCAATAGTAAAATCTATAAAATAAGTTATTAGAACCTTTTTTTTGTGGAAAATAGATTAAGGACCCATTCGATATTGTATTTAAAAGTTATTTTTAACTTTTTTAAAAAAGCTGCAGTTGGTTACGGTGTTTGGTAATTTTTGTTTTTATCCAATAGTTTTTAAAAACTGTTGTCAAGCAACAGAATTTGAGAAGCACGTAGTTCTTTTCCACAACAATTTCTGTTGTTATTGTCTAAATTTATGAAAATAATATTTATAATAAAACTTAATTCTCAATTTACCTATTTTATTTTTTTTCATACTAAATTAAAATATATTTTTTTAAAATAGTTATTTATATGCTAAATTCTATTCAAATATTTTTAGTAATTATCAAAATGTTTAAAATAACAATAATAAATAAAAAATTTAGTAGATGATAATTTTTTCCTATCAATAAAAATAATTTATTTTTAATAAATATTTTAATTAATAAAATTAAAATTATATTTTTTATATTTTGAATATTGATCATAAAAATAGAAATAAAACTAATGATAAATATGTAGTAAAGTATTTCTACTTTTGTCATCGTGCATCTCCATAGCAATTTTATACACAATTTATCAAACACCTAAATTTATGTTTATTGCATTCACAGCAGTTTTGTAAAAATATTTACCAAATACCTATATAAGTCTGGTCATAACAACTTATTACTAACAACATAATAACAACAAAAATTTTAAAAAGGAAATAAATCAGTTTTTTTTTTTTTAAAGATAAGTAGGGCATGATAAGTTTAAAAGGGAATTGCTTCTTTAACTTGTGGTGTGTAATAAGTAGTTTTTAAAAAATATTTTTGTCTTTAAACGTAATTTTATTAATGAGTAATTTAGTAATAAAAAAAATTTATTAAAAAAGAGTGTAAAAAGTAGTGTGTGTATATCCACACCCTTTGAAAAATTAGTTGCCGGTTATTTTTTACAATTTTGTCCTTACCATTAAAGTTGCATAGACAGAATTACGTTTGAGCCACATAGTAAGTAAAACTTTAAAAAAATAATAATTTCATTAAATGCAAAATATTCTCTTCATTGTTGTTAAAAACACTTAAAAACTAAAATGTTTTACATTTAAGGTAACTATTCCGTAAAAGTAATAGTTACTATAAGTAATTGGGATGTGATTATGTTTGAGAAACTTTTGAAGTTATTCGTCAATTTTAGTATGTGTGATTAAAACTGTCAAAAATTAAATTTCAAGGAGTAATTTATTAAATTAAAAGTTTGGGAACCTAAGTGACACAATACTAATAATTCAGTGATTAACAATATTAATAATCTTTATTTTAATCTAAATTTACTTACTGACACAGAGGAGTAATTTTTATTTTATGTAAATAATAAGAAAGGATAAACAAGAGTAATTCAACATAAACTAATTGTAAAAACCGACAATGTCGAGACATAAATCGAACCTAACAGGGCACTCTATATGATATGAAATCCAATGAAGATACACTAGCCACTAGGATTCCTTAAAAAAATAAAGAAAAAGAAGAAAGATGCTCTAGATTTTATAATTGGTTAGATTTGTATAGTATATATATACTACAAACCTTAGGGTCCAATTTTCTTTTAAAAAAAAAAAGAAAAAAAAAAGAAAAAAAAAGAAAAAAAAGAAAAAAAAAGAAAAAAAAGAAAAAAAAGAAAATGTTGGATCCCGATAATACAGATCATGTGTCTAGTGAAACTAAATTAGCTTAGGTCGAAACCCTTAAATGCACAAGGCGCACTAAATTAATTTAGGGTGTGTCTATTGATGACACTCACTATTTTATTTTTAAGTTTTAATGCACACATTCGTCGCATCTGACAAGAATGATTATAGTGATTCTTGTAGTCATATTACTCGATCCTGCAATATAGTTGTTCACACATTAGCCGTTTCCTATGATTGTAGATCGGTATTGGTGGGAAGATTACGCGAACTATATTGATGTCATAAAATGTCTTAAAAAAACTGACTAGAAAAATCAATGCAGAAATTTAATTTTTGGAGTTTAAGTAACTGATCAAAGTAATTGATCCAATTTATACTTATGCCAACTGGACTTGGATTGTTTAATGTCGTGTGGAATTGGTTGGATATCCAAATTTTTGAAATCCGATCGGATTGGTTTAATTAAGCTAGAAAGTATGGATTCAATTGGATGAATCATCTTATCTTGTTTATGAGAATTAAAACAGAAAAACACAAATAGGCCATCTTAATTTGGAAAGATTAGATGTCAATCAAATTAATGGTCTCCATATAAATTAAACTAAGAAATAAGATAAAATGCCACCCTTTTTTTTTTTTACATGATGTAGGGCTTATATTTCCCATTTTATTAAGAAAATCACGAAACCATCAAAACTTGGTGGACACATGCAAACATTTACACACCCAATCACTTAAACTAGTCTCAAGTGGAAAAATGCCAGCCCTTTGTTTAATTTGTCAAAAAATACAATTCATTTGCCCTAAACAAACCAAAACAGTCACAAGTCATTCAAGTCTTGATTAATTTTCCTAAAGCTCACAAATTAGATTAGAGGCAGAAGCAAATTAGTGTCAGCGTCTTTCATTACGAAAAAACATGATATATAAGTACAAATTAATGTGAAGAAAATTAATGTTTTTTCGTTCAAAGTTATATGGAGAAAAATATTTCAACTTTTTCAAAGTGCATAATTATATTGTACATATGGCTGTTTTGACCTACCGCACTGCCAAGAGCCAAATGGAAGAAGAAGAAGAAGAAGAAGAAGAAACTAAAGATATTGTATGCAGAAAAGTCATAAACCTTGGTTTCTTAGAGAAACTCTTTAATTCTTCATTAATAATACTTGGTGGGTTGCTGACTGAACCAACAACTAGTAAGGTTTTTGAAATATTCAATTCTAAAAAAGGCGGGTTTTATGTCGTATACGCAAAATGTGTATTATATATATATATATATTCAATTGCTTTCCTGTTAGTGGTCGGTGCAAAATATGAGAAATTTGAGGCAAACCACTAATGGAATCCATTTTCTTTATGTTTCATTGAACTAGTTGCTCAAGTTGTAATGGAAAGCCGAACATCACAAACCCCAGTCTATAGTAAGTATTCTACTTTTGTTTTAAAAACATACAAAAAAAACATTATATTCTCTAAGAATGAGCTTTTGTTTTCTCAGCTCTTCATAAAACTAGTGATAATCTATATTAAAAATAATGGTATATGCCACTAGAGTGTTCTTGAATTGGTGTTTTGCTTATTGGCCACACGTATCTTGGTAGTACTAGTGCTGTAGACTCGAGCCAGTTATCATCACTTATGTACATGTGTATCTATATGTGTGTGTGTGTGTGTGTATAATAGTGTTATACCAAACATTATATTGATGCTTTTGAACTCTAATATATTAAACTGAATCATTAGTTGATTACTAACTTTTTGAATCGGTTGGGTTAAAACGTTTATACTAATTACATTAAAACAAGTGTTATTTAGGATTGTTGTAATTCATCATTCCATAAAACCTTTTACAATATCTTTATTTATGATTTGAATTTCAGATTATCTACTATATAATTCTATGTCAAATATTTTATCAAAATTAAGTACAAGCATGATTTGGTATATGTTTTTGGGAATTAAACTCATTCCTTATATAATTAACTCGTTTGTCTTACTCAACTAATTCATATTCATTAGTAGAAGCAAATAATTGACTGACCAAAAGGTAAGAGGAAACCAAATTTTATGGGATATGTAGGTGAGGATTGAGGAATACTCCATCACCAGCTTTTTATCATTCAATGGCATAAAATTAATGAATAAGCTTGAAGCTTTGCATGAACTAATTTTTAATGTGTAAAGATAATAATTTTGAATAATGAATGATATAAAAATGCACTTGGCTCATGGCACCGTGGACTTCCATTAGGATTTATTGTGTGTAAAGGATGGATATAAAATTACATATATAAAAATGTTAAAACAAAAAATTAAGAAGGAAAAGTGAATCAACGGTGTGAATTAGTGGTGGAAATTTTTCGTTTTCTTTTTGTACTTTTTTTTTCTAAGTTGTTGGTGAATTAATTACTATATAGTGTTCCACCAAATCAACTGATTAGTGCCTGCAAGCACATGATCTAAGGCAGAAAGTAATTAATAAATGAAATAGTCGATTCCTATTATTTTTCAAAAAAAAAAAAAATGATAATAATGAAATGAACTAGTTGAGCATCACTTTCTTATTTTTAATATAGTCACCCCGCCATAGTACGTCAACCAAAATAGGGGGGGAAGACTCATTCCTTCTTATAAGAAACAAAAATAAATACCCCACTCAATCTTATCTACCTAGACCTAATTTGCTCATTATTTTGTAATGATTCCTTATAAATCAAAGCTATAAGCACAATGTCCTATTTGGAGCACTTAGGAGCCACAAT